TACATACATACATACATACATACATACATACATACATACATACATACATACATACATACATACATACATACATACATACATACATACATACATACATACATACATACATACATACATACATACATACATACATACATACATACATACATACATACATACATACATACATACATACATACATATATAGGGATTGACTCCAGTGAGATGACACTTTATGGTGAGATGACATGCTTCGGTGAGATGACGCAAAGCTCACCACATTACACTGCAAAGCTCACCAATGGCCAATGTAAAGCTCACCTGGAAATAAGGCAGGATCACCATTTTGAACACCAAAACTCACCTTTTTTTTTATTTTGAAAATTAAAAAATTAATAAAAAATGAAATAGCAAAACCGGTCAACCACCGGTCAGTGGTGGCGGCGGAGGTGGTTGCCGGTGGCCAGTGGCGGTTGTCGGCGGCAGTGGATACCGGCGGCGGCGGCGTCGGCTGGATACCGCGGCCGGCGGCGGCTGCCGGAGTCCGGCAACGGCAGCGACGGAGTTCGCCGGCGGCAGGGGGTCTCCGGTGATGGTCAACGGTCAATGGTCAAAGTCCAGTCAGCATCACTTCCTTTGATTTTTTTTCCAAAAAAAATTAAAGTGTTGAAAAATTATAGTGAGCTTTGCCTTACACTTTGGTGAACTTTGTAGTTTTCCTTGGTGAGCTTTGCAGTGGGCAGTGGTGAGCTTTGTGTCATCTGACTGTAGCATGTCATCTCACTGTAAGGTGTCATCTGACTGGAGTCAATCTCATATATATATATATATATATATATATATATATATCTGTGTGTGTGTGTGTATAGACACACACATACCACACACACACACACATACAGATACAGATACACACACACACACACACACACACACAATATAACCACAAATAGATACTCCCTCCGTCCCTCATAGATCTTCCCAATAGCCCTTTTTCTTTGTCCACAATAGATCTTCTCATTTCATTTTTTAATAATTAAAATACCACAACTACCCTCACTTACTTTATTTATTACACCTCTCCCACCTCATTTAATACACTCCACCCATTTTTCATTAAGGGTATTATGGTAAACTTTCACCTTTTTTCAACTCTCCTTAAAAACCACCAAAAGTCAAAATGAGAACATCTTAGGGAGACGGAGGGAGTATATGGCACAACATATGTTATTAAAGTCCACACATAATCTGAGACAAACAATAAAATGTTCAAAAGTATTTAGAAGACCACAAATAGAAACATAATTCAAATAAAAGTTTATTTCCATCTACTAGTTTAAGCACGCAAACATGTAAGTTTAATAATTATCTTTGAACATGTCATTAATATGGATATCAATATTTATATCCATAGACTCATCATGGATACTAGATAAGTCAACACCATAGTCGTCTTCAAGATACTCATCATCATTTAGACCTAAGAGATAAGGCGACGTTAAATTTGGCTTTCAAAATTTAAAAACTACCCAATACTGGGCGCCTAGGCCAGAGGCGAGGGTAAGGGGACAAAGGCAAGCGCCTTAACGCCTCAAAACTTTCTGGGCGAGGTGGACAGATAAGGCATCTACGGCATAGCGCCTTATCGCCTAGGCGACACCTTAACAACTATGACCCCAGAGTATTATTACTAAGCAAAAAGGAATACAAGATACACATTCCTCCACCACTGAGATTGAGCATGGGGTCTAGAGTTAATAAAAGAGCTTGAAATGTTAATTCACTGATATCATTATAAGATAAGATATCCTTAATTTCTTACCTATAAATTGTTGAATTGGCAGACTCATGAAAGAGGAGCATCAAAATCTCGTTATTTGTTGCAACAATTTTGGAACATTAGACTGTGAAACCAGCAGCTCTGAATTTGGAGTTGCTCTCATGAAGTGGTTCTGCTGACCAATAATATGATCACCCACCCCCTGCCTACTATTGTTACTTGCACTTGTGTTTGTTTCGGCATGCGTGGCTTCCATCAATGAACGTATCTAGAAAAAATGGTGTTTTGTATGTTATCCAACTTGCCTAGTGAGAGAAATGTATGTGGTAGGTTTTATCTTTTTCGTCTTCTTATTTCTATTATTTATTTATTTAATTATTATTATTTATTTATTTTTACTTTATTTTGGGGGGGGGGGGATTTTGGGCACACACACTTATAGATGCAATCACAGTGAGAGACCAGCATAGCACAGTAATCTTACCACATCCATGCGCCTCTTGTGGATATCACTAGATGGCTGCAAGAAAAGATGAAGTCCCATCAATTATTGAGCTATAGCTCACTACAAGCTAGAGGCATTGACTGCAGTTCTTCCATAATGGCCCTGATGAGTTAGTGTTTACGAGTATTTTAAGACAAATTCTAACAGATGGGCAGGGGGAACACACAAGACTTACGGTCTCACAACCAACCTTTGTATTATACACATTCTCCGTAAAATATACAGGAAGCTTATGTAGTCAATATTATTAGTTATTATTATTGGTGATAGTAGTAGTTTCAAATTATTAATACTAATAGTATATTGATTATTAAGTTTAGTTTCTTATTAAAATTTGGTTCCCTTGGTAGGTAGCTTTGGAAAATTAATAAAAACGGTAGTTCAGGTTCATATAAAAAATTGTACCGAAACTCTCTCTTTTATTAATCTCTCTCTTTGTTTGCTGCTCTCTCTTTTTCTCTGTAAAAGTTCTGCAACCATCTCGAGACGTAGGCACAAAACTTCTTTTCCCTACTTTCAACAAGCAGTACCAATGCTCTACTACCCTCCGATTCTGTCCACATTAATGCGTAGACACAATGCTAAATTGCTAATGGGCGTTTGTGGTATGAGGAATATGGGACAAAAAAAAGGATATGTTGTGAGAAAAGCTAAAGCATAGAGGAGTCAGGATATTAAGATTTAAGAATCAAGATTTTCAAAAATCCATATTTGTAGCTTCTATATTGATTTCCCTTGTTTACTTTATGTTATTCCTAATCCTATTTGTATTTCACTTATACTATTCTTTGTTATTTTCGAACCTAAAATCTAATATCATTCCTGGTCCTAATCATATTAGCTGGTCTTAATAGAGGTAGGTTTACCTTTCCTACTTTAGAGTCCAGTTTGAGCAAAGGTGTGGGATTTATTGAGTTTGTTACTGTTGTTGTTGCTGCTCTATTTAAAGCCTTGGACCATTGCATTTTTGAAGTTAATTGAATGATTTATTTTTTAACACAAACTGAAGAATGGTTTCATCCATAGAGTTCTTTATCAATCTTTGGTGGATTTGTCTTTATAAAACTTGTTATCTCTGTTTATCTTATTTCTTTTCTTGTTCTTGGTGTTTCAACCATGTCTCATCCTTAACTTTAAGGTCTCTTCATTTTCTTCTAAACCTTACGCATCCGTATCAAAATTCTTGGTTCTTAATCATCAAGCCGTGATAACAAGGAAGTTGCTGATTTTTTATATGAGACGAGAGATTCAAGCAATAACACAGAGGAGACCTTGAAGGGCTTGAGCAGCAAGTATGGAGTCCTATTCGACAGTGTGGATGATCTTGCTCCCATGCTTCAAAGTTGGAGGATGGAAGATAAGGCTAAGGAGAGGAACTTGGAACCAAAGGAGAAAGGTGACTTAAGGTGACTTCTGAGGGCTGAAAACCTCTTTGATAACAAGGATGACGAAGATGAGAACAGTTCTAAGGTGGCTGCGCTAAAGCTCATCAAACATGCAAGCATGTGCTTGGAGAATCTTCAAGCTGAAAGGAGGGAAGGCAAAGTCAAGAGCCATTCTTATATCAAGATGAAGAAGTACCTCAAAGGAGATACTGATTATGTCAAAGAAAACTATGTCAAGATGGCCAAGCTAGAACAAGGGATCAGATCTGTGGACTTTGAAAGAGTTCGAAACTTGCTCTTAGAATTGAAGGAAAAAACATGAGCTTCAAGAGGAATATTCCTATGGCCTCTAGTGTGCAACAACCTCAACCTTTGCCAAAGACAACTCCAAGTGACCCCAGCACTGCCGCAACCAAGGAAGGGGGATTAAACAAAGGAATTCTGGACAACAATTTGGATAATAGGAAGTGCTTCAAGTGCCAAGGGTATGGACACTTCCAACGTGACTGCCCTTCCAGTGGGACCATCACACTTAAAGATTTTCAGGAGTATGATGTTGAATTGTACAAAAGGGATCCAGAAATGCCACCATTGACTGAAGATGGGGGAGAATAGGATGAAGAATAGGCCAACATAGGGCTGATTTCCATGGAGAAGCCTTGGTGGTATGGCCGTGGATGAAGAGTAGTATGCAACCCCAACATCTGAACCAACTCCATAGAAGCAACATTGGCACAACTTCCATGTATGATGATGATACAGTGTTTCCCTTGGACAGTACATCTTGTGTGGAACAAGAGGTCTCTTTGTACGGGTTTGAGGGTGGCCAAGAAGGGCTTGATAAACCTCTTTATTAGTAACCAGTTCGAGGAGGAGATATTAAGCGATGTGCTTCCCGTGGATGCTTCTCATATGCTTCTAGGGAGACCATGAATGTTTGATAGACAAGTACATCACGATCGGAGGCAGAATACACACTTAAAAGCTGGAGAAGGATGGGAGAACCATAACCTTGCTTCGTATGACACTTATGGAGGTATGGATGCTTTTCAGGGAGTATAAACGAGAGAACCCGGTGCTTAAGCAAGGTGGTTTTAAAAAGGCAAAGGAAGCAGACAAGTTTGGATTTGGGAGGAAGAGCATGAGGATGCTGCGTGATGAAGTGCTTACATAGGAAGGGGGTAAATTTCACAAATGGTACCTGAACGTTAGCTGGAATTTCGAAGTAGTACCTGAACTTCAAATCCTTTGTGTTTTTAGAGACTTGAATGTGTTAGGAAAGTGATTACTCGGTAATCGGGCAAAGATCCAATTGAAGGCCAGTAATCCCGGTTTAAGCTTAAAATATATAAAATTTTAAAAGTTAAACTGGGGTAAAGAAGAAAAGAAAAGAAGGTGCGGGGCGGCCCGCCGCCCGCCGGTCAAAGTCGCCGGAAAATGAACTTTTTCTGATTCCGGCGGGACCAATGTCATTCTCTTCGTCTTGAGACGAGGATCAATAATATCCAAACCATTTTGTCTAATTTGGCCTGTAACTTCTCGAATCTGAGCATGCAGTTCCTGCTTGACCTGGAGCAATTCTAGGATGGGTGACCCCTGGGAAGTTTTCCTTGGGTGCGCACAAGTGAGGACAAAGTGTGCGGGAAAGACTTGTGTTGGTTTATGGGGTCAGTCTTCAATCCTATGAGCGGACACTTACGGCCAGGGTGGGGGGGGCCGGGGTGTTACATTTTATTAGACCCTGAACTATCTTTTTATTAATTTTCCAAAGTTAAATTCCAACTAAAGCCTTGTAAGGGAACAACATTTTTCTTGGCATTAGCGTTTTGAATGAAATTTTAATGGTGTAGATTAATTTTGAAAATGCTGCCGTTAGATAGCTTATTCAAAATGCTAACGTTAAACGCAAAAGTTGTTCCCAAACGCATCATAAAAGACAACTTTTTATTAGAGTTTAGTAGCCCTAGGGAAAACCTATTTGGAAACAAATACGATTGGTATGGAAACCAAGTCAAAATAGGAAACTAAATATTAATAAGATACTATTCCTAATAATAAAAGGAAACTACTAATACCAATAGGGCATGTTTGGGAATAGCGTTAGAGATTAGCGTTAGCGTTTTGAAAAGGCTATATATGGCCAGCTTTTAGCGTTAGTGTTTTCAAAGTAGTCTACACCGTTAAAATTTTATCCAGAACGCTAACGCTAATCTCTAACACTATTCCCAAACAGGCCCATAATCATACGGAGTGGAGAGTAGAGGGGTTGTTTCCAAGAGACCTCGGCTCAAAAAAAAACAAACACAAAGAACAAAATAAAAGAAACAATTAGCATAAAAACAAAAGGAGAGGAATTATTATTGTTGTTGTTGTTGTTATTATTATTATTATTATCTATCATCATCATCATCATTATTAAAAAACAACCACCACCACCAACAAATCATGATAGAGAAAGTTAGAGAAGCTTACAATCTCCAGTTTCTGTTTCTTATCCTCACTTGAGAAACCCGGAACTGTCAAATGCCAATTCTTTTCTGTAAAGTATATGAGTCAATTAGCGCAAGTCACTCAATTCCTAGAAGTGTCAATGCAAAAGGAAAAATATTTTCAATCTTATGTCACATGCATACATAATATGCGTAAGCGCTTGTGTGTGTATGTGCGCGTGCAGGGGCATGTGTGTGAGGTACATTCTGTTTGATGTAAGCAAACTACACCAAAAGAAATGCACTTTGTAAGTATTTGTTATGCAGTAGTTACAAACAAAAACAGAAGTTAAGAAGTCTTAATTTTATGATCTAAAGTGGAATGGGAAAACAAAACAAAAGTTTATCATAGATACAAGACAGACCAAGATGCAACAGCACATCCTTTGATTCCAGGGTTGATGATTTTCTATGCTTTGCCAAATTGCAAGCAAATGTAGTGACCTGCAATGGCCATGCAACAAATTTTTTATGCATTAATATTACAGAAAAAATGGAATAAAAAAGATATGATTTACATCAATAGCTTCAAATACTTTCGTCGGTGGCGGATGGATAAAAAATTTAAAGGCAGATATCACATGGAAGAAGCTGGTTGCATTCAATATACCACATGAATTTACTACATGCAGTGACATTCTATTAAAGACTTGGTATCAAAAGATTATAAGAACAAAAGCTGAAAGAGTCAATACAAGGAAAAAAGAACTTGCATTCAGAATGTGTCATTGCTCTGGGAGCAAGAAAATATTGCAGGAAAAAAACACAATAATCGTAGACTGAAGCCTAATTTCCAAAGAAAAATTCAGAAATAAATCATTGAAGATGCCAAATTGCAGAATGTCAATGCAAAGCACTCCCCCTGTCCCACTATTTTTGTCCAAATAAGAGTGGCACAAAAATTAACACAAAGAGGAAATGTGTTGTTGACATTGAATTTGGAAAGTGTGAACTTATTTGACCACATAAATCATACTGAATGAAGTAATGAATGAAACTAGTGGGACGTACAAAAATGGTAAAGAGAGTCATTAAATATTGGGACACAACCCGGAGGGAATAATAAGTAAAATGGCCATGGCTATGAATGCTAACCATTACCAGAAGACAAATACCAACAGGACTTTTTAGTTTCAAAAAGTTAGAACCCTAGAAGGGTGAGAAGGGATAAAAGGCAAAAAAGGATTATTTGAGTCTCACTGAATCAATAAAGTCGTCAGCAATCTCTAAAAGAAGATCTTCAACATCAGGATCAAGCTTCCCCAGGGAATCCACCTGGAACAATATAAACAATGATCAGGGTGAAAGCAACTCCTTAATGGACAAATTACTAGAAGCATTCGACATATACCATATACTATTACTCCAGAGCCCAGATATCAGGATTTCACTTCTTCTTTTTTTGGTTTTTTTTTTTGCTGGGGGGGAGGGGGTTTGCAAGCCAAATAATGTTACAACCAGATTCCGAAAATCCCTGATAGTTGGTTATTCACGTTGATTTTGTATAGAGCAAAGAGAAATTATAATTACAACCCCAACTCTGTTGGGCCTTGGGGGGAGGGTGGAGGTCAAGATGCAAACTACTTCAGCTCTGTAAAAAAAAGATGTTTTTCCTTTAGACCTGTGATGCACTTACTGCCCAAAACTTCATAGAAAGGAGAAATGGAAGTTTAATGTGCCATTCTGATTTAGCTCATTATTAACCCAAAGCTAAAACATTGTAAAAATTGACTCTTTTACCTCCATTGGCAATAAAATTTGAATTAGGTACTTATGCTTTGTGCCTTTACTAATACACTAAGGAAAGTTTAAAACAAGTGAACCAGAGTTTGAACCTGTGAAACTAAATCCTGTATTTTTCGTTTTCCAAGAAGTTGAATGCTTGCTTCAGTTCCCTGACTTGAGCTCCCCCCTGGAGTAGTGGCTCCAGATGCAGTAGCATCTGGCTGTGATCCAGTCAAACTCAAAGATTTTTGGCATGTGGGGGCTGCCATATGCGGAGAAGATTGTAGTTGTAGTTGATGCAAAATTTGCGCCCCAGACTGTTGTTGCTGCTGTTGAAGCAAAGGTTGCTGTCCAGGCGTTTGTTGGTGATGTTCATTTGGCTGCTGAAGTTGCAGCGATTCCGGCTGCTGCTGATGCATCTGAGGGTGTGCCGTTTGTTGCTGGGGCACGATTTGAGATAACTGGTGTGGGCTCAAAGCCAATGTATTCTGATGTAACTGTTGGTTTGGAGGCAATTGCTGCTGAATAAGTGATTGCCTTGAGTGCTGAATACGGATTGAAGGGGAATTCGGTGAAGATAGCGTAGGCATTTGCTTTATCCACTGCTGCTGAGTTAAAGTGTTGTGTACCAAAGGTGATTGTCCATTCTGAGCCATTCCAGATAACTGAGGATTCATAAATGATGACGTCCTCTGAAGGTTCTGTGCATAAAAATCCTAAACAATTGTAATGTCAAAAGAAATATCGAAAATATGTAGTACTGTATAGTTCACACATGAACTGGGAGTTTGGGACCTTACAATAACACAGTTCTTGAGACTGGTATAATAAAAACACTTACAAATCTTCCACTTTGTAAGAAAGAATGCTCCCATGTTAGAAAAGAAGACTGATGACATCATGACAGTGTAACACATCATCATTATGATAAAGAAATAGTAGCGGTAACTTTACTTCCATATTCACCTTTAGGCTTTTAGCGTGTCCATGCCTTCATGTATGTAAGATGGCATATAGTAATGAAAATGTTAAAAAGTAGTCATATCACTTCCTCTAAGCATTAGTAACTAAAACTTGTTTTTACTACAGCATTCTGTTTACATGAAACCATATAGTAATGAAAATGTTAAAAAGTAGTCATATCACTTCCTCTAATCAATAGTAACTAAAATTGGTTTTTTACTACAGCATTTGGTGCACATGAAACTACATAGTAATGAAAATGTTAAAAAGGTGCCATAGTAGGTCAGCTACGTGTTAGTAATCAAAAACAATTTTTTCCAACTGCAATTCTTAGGTGCAACATTCTGCATTACTATGATGCCAATAAAACTTTACTCATGTACAGAGTTAATATTATTTTTTTCAAAACAGCATCGAAATTGCTGGGGATGTCTCTCATCGAAACAGGATGGGCTTGCTTCTGATGTCTTGTGCGACAGGAACATGCCACTAAAAGTAAAGGAAAGTTTTACCGAGCACTGATTATGCTGGCTATTATGTGTGGGATCTAGTGTTTGCCAGTAAAGAACATCCATGTGTAGAAGTTCAAGGTGGAAGAGGTAAGGATGCATAGGTGGATGTGCAGATGTACTAGGAGTGATAGAGTAAGGGGAATGATGATATCCAGACGAGTTAAGACTGAGAGTGGCTTGTGTTGAGATCCTTGAGTATGGGAATTAGAAGTCTGAAGTGAGGTTAATGTGGTTCAAGCACGTAAAAAGTTAATAATGCCCTTGTGAGGAAGCGCAAGTTGGGAATTTGAGAAGAGGTAAATTGAGAAGGGGTAAGGCGGTAGAGGTAGACCAAGGAAGAGTTGGGACAAGATGATAAGATAAGGACATGACCTTGGAATGGGATGGGCACGATTTTGGTTCTGAACCAATACCAGAACCGCAACCTTAGGTTCTAGAACTGTACAGGAGCCAAAAGCATTCAAGCAAGAGCCGGAATCAGAACCTTACATATGAGGTGCCAGATCCATCAAATGGAGGACCAGTATTGGCAGTTTAAGCTTTCGAACCGGAAATGCTTTAAAGTTTTAGTGAAAACAGCGTAAGAACCAGTACTAGAATTGCTTACAAACGTTCCAGTTAAATTTCATGATATCCTGGTTTGGAACAGCACTGTGCCCACCCCTACGCTGCATAGGAGGGTTTTGAGGTCTAAGACTACATTTGTAGGGATGTTGGGTTAGCGGATGTTTCCATCTTTTATTCAGGGTAATTAATCTATGAGATAGTTGGGTATAATGAGATGCTGCTTAGTGGTCCTTTATTTGTTTACTGGTTGTGTATCGTTTTCCACTCTCTTATTTGTTTTTTGTTTTGTTTACTATTACTTGTTGAACTATTCTAGGTTGTGTCTGTTGTTCTTGTGAGCCTGGTGTGCATGTAAATGGCATGTATACCTTGCAAAGTTGGGGTAAGGTCTATTATGTATACCCACCCCTTTCAACCCCACTTGTGAATATAATCGAGTAGGTTATTTTTGTAAAACAAATACTAAATATAAAACTGATGTGCTTATTATTATTATTATTATTATTATTATTATTATTATTATTAGTTTATTGCTAAATCCACCCCACAATAGGCTATATCCACTCCTTTTTGTGTGAAATAGACAAGTTTACCCTTAATGGTTGATATGGGGAAAGAAAGAAGTGAAAGGGCAAAGGTGTCCATTTCTTATAAATGGAGTGGATTTTACCAATTAGAGTGTGGATTTAGCATCACCCTTATTAGTTATTATTATTATTATCATTGTTATCAGCCTCATCATCACTAGTTTTTACCCCACGTTTCGCACGAGCTCGTATACTCTTACATAAATATTTGCTTTGTATAAATATGAATTTGGTGTTCTATAAAAAGATGAAATTAGAAATGAACAAATAAGTGAAATATGTACGAAAGTCATTATGTGACATCAATAACATCATCAATATATAGAAATACTGAAATAGTAAAACTTACACACACACACACACGTACCCATTGAGCGAGATTTCATGAACTACTCTTAGGTTATTCTCCTTTGACCTTTCACTTCCGAAGATCTGGTGATGTACGTGAGGGCGGACGTGGATAAACTCATTACAACCTCTTCTATAGCTTTTATAATGTTAAACTATTGCCTAATACAATTATGTTGCTTTGATTGAATATTTTTAGGTATAAACTTTTCCGAGTCAATAGTTTAAAAAAGTACTCCCAATTACTATCCCAAATCACTATTCACTTCCTTTGGATATATTCATTAGGCATTTGATAAAATAATATAGTCATGTCTCCTTTGATTTTGTAGAACTTTTGAAGGTTTAAATATATAAGTTTTATTTATAAATTTTATACTTATAAATTAAATTGAAAATAACTCCGTGAAACCTCATAAACCGAAACGGGAAAAAAGTTTTAGGACAAAGAGAGTAATTTTTTACAAACTTTAGACTACTTTTTAGACACTAAAATTACTAGTTTCTGGGTGAAAGAAACAAAAATTTGTGTTATTTATGTTGGTCTAGAACACATGCTATTGAAAATCATGAGTGCAGCCAAATTCATTAAAGCTTTGCTACAAGCGTACTAGTATTATCAACTAGCAAGTGAAAGAACTACATAAAGAAACATTGCAAGAATAGACTCTACCACCATGAGTGAATCCTAGCCAAACATTATGATATATCCCGGGTTACACCTTCACACACGCCACTAGTATTAAAAGAAATCAAGTGTTTAATGTCTAGGTGTTATGATCCATTTTGGGTTGAACTCATTGATCCATCCCACACCAAAACCCAAACCATGACCTATCTCTCCCAAAACCCAACCTAGGCCGAAATGCCTACAAGCCCAACCCACTCCCACATATCCAAAGTATTTTTACTACTCAAATAAAGCCCTTTTCCTCTCCCTTGAAGCCCTGGCCAAAATTGAAAGGAAAAGTACAACCCAAAATAATGTGAGTGTTGTTTTCTTCCCTAAATATTCCTTTCATCAAATAAGAACCTTCCCCATCCCTTCCTACTTCATAGTCACCAAAATATGCCCCCATTTGTCCTTAAAATCAGTCCCCATCCATCACAAACATCCCCCACTACAAGAGGAACAAACCAGGGGACAAGGAATAAAACATG